GTTACTAATATAAAGAGACAACATAGTATTGTTCGGGCCATATGAAAGAGCATCCTTGATAACCTCAGATTGGCCCGAACAACACTATGTTTTGTCCTTACAATATTAAAATTCAGGCCTTCAGTTAAGAATCTGATGATAATTTTTCAGAAGGTATGGAACCTCGTTGTACCTGAAATGTTCACTGATGGGACGAATCCTTTATACGTAGTCACTGTACTCACTGAGCTCCACAAAATAACAAATACGCGATTCGAAACGGAGACTCACACTTGGGGACCTTCCCTCGTAAGTGGTATTTTGAGACACATTTTGAAAAATCATGTTTTTCAAAGCGCGACTTGATCTACGACATGCCTGTTCTTATGCTTTTGGGTGTAGAATTCAATTTGGAATAGAATAGTATGATTATTAAATTGAAAAATAGAAACATAAGATTATGTCGAAATAAGAAAAAAATCAATTATCCAGAAAAGGATTTTTTATTTCGAAAATTTTTCTTGCATATATTTCTTCTAAAATCCAGAAAGATATAAAATCTTTTGAAGAGCCTTGTAGTATATTTGAAAGTTCAGCAAAAATTTTATGAAATATTTTTCGTTTTTTGATAGAGATTTATTTTTCAAATTTCGTGCTGATAACAAAAAAAAATCTATTCGAGAGACAAAAACAGCATTCATTATCGAATAAGCTAAAAGAACAAAGTCTGTAATGTCTTAGGAAGTGTTCTAAAAAGAAAAAAAAAAACATCATAGTCTTATTATTTATTGCTTGTTTTCAAAAGTTAATTATTAATATTGAATATTTTCTCATCAATTGATTGGTCTAGATTCTTTACTCTTCTCTTTGCATTAGTGAAAGCTGTAAACTTCTGTCATATATCTTATAATAACAATTTGAAATAGTTCAGGTCGTCGCATTTGTATATCCTATAAAAATCAATTGTCTCATTGAAAAACCGATTGTGAATGTAGCAGTGAGATAGTCCAGCAATCACCAATTCTTCGCGAATAGAGGTAATGAAGAAGTGTTTTCTAGATGTCATTATTCTCATTAATTGATGATTACTTTTAAAGATAAACAAAATTTTGAAGGACTTATAATAAAGCAGTGCTATAGGTTTGCTTTGAACAAGAGAAATCTAATAAAGGAACTACTCCAACTATTACCCGCCGGTTGAGCTTATATTAGACCTTCAAAAAAGGGACTTCATAAGACTAGAAAAACCTAGTAGAAATCGCATTCCTCAGTCTTCGGAGGCAAGTTATAGTTGTTTTACTGAAATTTTATTCGCACTTCAATTTAATGATCTTCACAAATATTTGGATAGTTTCAGCTGAAAAAAAAGTCTTTCTTTGTCGAAATATTGAATTTCTAACAAGTAGTCATTTGCCACAAAAATTAACTTTACTTGAAAATTTTATATCTCGACCAAAGGATATACAAGTTACCTTCAAAGACTAGAATAGGACGAATCCTTTTAGACTTTTTCTAGTCTTACGCCAAACTCATTAGTATGAGTTCAAACGACGGGTTAAAGTTACAATGATTTCCTGGTAAACGCCTTTTGAGAGATTCTGAATGTATTTTTGTGCTAGTGCAATGCAAATTTTGTAACACATAATCTCAAAGGAGTGTCGAAGTATATTGAGTAGAGTTTTTCACACACATACATCTCTCCTCACAGACCATATATTAATAAAAAAAATCGTTATAATATATTAACGACTTCCTTATTGTATTTCTGAAAGATTAAATAAAAAGAGGATGAAGAAACATGTCCCAAGATAGACAGAATAAAACAACCTCCCCGTGATTAGCAAGCGTAATTACATAGTATTTCACATTTTAATCCCTCAGGAATTCCACTAGCATCATTTTTTTTTCATTTTAAAGACTACATAATTAAAGAGCTCTCCTTCAAAAATCGAGGTGCAATTCAAATCATGTAGACTTTTTAGTCTTACATGATGACGTTTTCGGAAGATCTTCAATTAACAAGAGTCAAAAATAACTCATTTGACAACCGAACATTCTCCGGAAGTCTTCATTTCATAGATTCATTTTTTCTTTATTTATAAGAGAATGTCAGACTGCAATACTCTTCCTTTTAAACCCGAAATTTTTATGTGAAGAAAAAAATGACAAGCTGAATATCTCGAAAAACTTAAAGAAAAAGAACATCTATTTACAAAAATGACCTTCTTTTTTATATAATTATAAGAAAGCTAAAAGCAATAGACTACAATAAAGCTCCTTTAAGAATTCTGGAAGGCACAATTAGAAAGTCGATTTTTATTTTTAAGGAAATAATTCCATTATTGACGAATGATCCGAATCTTTCACTTTTATATTAATCATTATTTTGCCTCAATAAAAGTTTTTTATTGAATAGTTTGTAGATTTTTTTTTTATGATACTGAGAATAAAATGTACACGAATATATTACCTGACTGATTTCGAAAAAGAAAACAATTTATCTTACACTCACACAATATCATTTAAAAAATCGTCAGTGCGGAAAAAAAAAGTGCGTTAATTCTACAAAACTTTACATACATTTTCACCCTTTTCTCGGGTGACTTGTCGTTTATCTTGCATGTCACATTTATTTCCTATAAGCATTCGTTCAACTTCAGCCGATGCATGCTAAATTATTTTGCATAAAGAAAATTTACATATATTTGTTAATGTATTTATTCATACTTCTTGAATATTACGAATCCAATTTTTAATATTATCAAAGCTTTTTTCACTTGTTATGTCATATACAAGCATTATTCCCTGAAATATATATATATAATAATTTTTATGTAATACCTTTCTTTCTTATTAACGTCATACCATTGCTCCTCGATAATAAGCTGTTGTAATTGTTTTAAAACGTTCCTAGATAAATTTTATATATATATATATATAAGAAAAAAAACATTTTTTTCGAATGATAAAAAGAGAATATATATATTCCTACTTGGCCGGCAGTATCCCTATGAAAGAAAAGTTAAATAATTTATTTTTCCTTCGAATGTTTTGTCTTTTTTTTCAACATACCAAATCTGTAATTTAATTTTTCGTCCATCAAGTTCAATTGTACGAATTTTAAAGTCAATTCCTGTTTAAAAATAAAAACTTCAACAATAATCATCAATTACTATAAATTTACCAATAGTCGAAATAAATGTTGTGCTAAATGCTGAATCACAAAAACGTAAAAGCACACATGTCTAAATATATCTTTATATATATGAAAAAAAAAACAACAATTTTCTAAATGTCAAACATACCTTTCCAACACCACTATCGCCTAAATGAAAATATTATATATTAAATATTTATATAACAAGTAAATAAATAAACAAAAAGCATATATAAAATTTAACATACCAATTAAAAGTAATTTAAATAAATAATCATAGGCTTTAGCCATATCTATTTTCTAGGATACTAAATAATAATATGTCAATTGATATCCATACGATATTTTTTAATATATCTGAAAATATATAATTGTATTTGTGTACATAAGACATAAAAAAATTAAGAAAAAAAAAATAATATGATATTTGAAAAAAATTCCATCGATGATGATTGTTCTACACATTCTTTGGAAATAAACGATCAGTCATGAAATAAAAAAAAACGAATCATTATTACACTCGAATTATTTTTCTTTTTTTGCATCGTGTATTTTATTTATGAATCATGTTCGTCATTAGCATCAAACATTTTATATTTAGTGGTTACATTTCAACCAACGAAAAGAGAAATAAATCATCAACTAGCGTACTCTATTTGCTCTTAATATATAATTGTTCAGTTCATTTTAACCTTTCCATTTGACTTAATGACTTGAGAAAAGAATCTATTCATAAAGGAGGATGTCTACACGTAAAGGAAGAAGATGCGTCGAAATTGAACACAATAGAGTTATCGACGTTTTTTATGATACAGGGAAAAAATGAAATCCATAGTAACGCGGTACGTCTCTTCACCAATTCTATTTTTCTCATCAATTCGTAAAAACAAAACACTGAACTTCCTCCTGAATCATCAGTTCCTTGTCACTCAATTCTGAAGATATCGGAGTATTCCTAATTAATTTGTTTTGAAAAGAACTGAATTCAATGGTTAAGTCTCATTTGTATTGAAGCTCATTATTGTTTTGCAGTATATTTGAATCAGCAGACTCTTTCTAAAAAAAGTTAATTTTTTTTTTTCATACTGGATACTAAATGATGATGAAGAGGGTCGATCAACCTAGAGAACCGATGGGAGGATCATGTAAACGTCCGTTATCGATGACTAAAAGCTAATGAATTCTAAAATACAAAACAATTGTATTATATATATATTTCACAATTTTTATTTTTTTTTTGCATTTTAAAATAATAAAACAAAGTGTTCTTGCTCTTGTTGAAAAACGCTCGAATATTTTAAAATTCAGCTTTTTATCTTTTTTCAGATAAAAAGGGTTAAATCTGTTTTCTTTTTCTTACTATGACAATATAGATAACAACTTGATCATAATCGTTAATTTTGAAAAAGCTTTACCTTGTTATCTATATGATTTTATTTATGTACTGATATTCGTTTTTTTCTTTCCTTTTGTTTGTCGTATTATTCTATGGATTTCTTCTTTTATCATCGATCTCTAAATATAGTCGTTCAGGTGTTACAAATTAAAAACATATATATATAGAGAGAGAGCAATAAACATAAGTTAATGATAGATTTCATTGTCAGCATATCTAGAATAACATTAGACTAAGTTGTAATAGTTATTTAAAATAGTGTGTTGTTAAAAGAATATTTTAATAGATAAATTAAATTAATAATATTGAAAGAAATATATGATAGATAGGAAATACTTTTAAAAGACATACACTTATTTATTATGTAAAGCATTTTCTAAAAACAAATATACAGTGTATTATCAAATTTATCAAAAATTAGTCTAACTTCAATAGTCTATTTTGACAAAACTGTTAATAGAATTCGGATATTTTCTATGAAAAAATCTGTTCGATCTTCTAGATAAAAAATGATTTTATTTTTATTGGCAAATAAAAATTAACTATATTCTAATTACGATCATATGTGGAATCTGCATTCGTTCGAATAAAACTAGAATTCGGTTTTTGACTAGAAATGCATCTTTAACAGTATAATTCTGTTACTAGTGTATTCTTATTTGTGAGTAGATTATCTTTAAACTTAATTAGAATAGGACTAGACACCTACTAATCCATTGGAAAACAATTAGAATCTCTACAAAAAAAAAATGGGTATTTATTTTGACCGGGACTACGACCCAAAATTGATATTCATGTTTAAACCTCAGTGTCACCAGTCATGGAATAACCCTGAACAAATCACTAACGGCTGTTTGTCTCGGGTCATCCGTTCGATAGCATGCAAACTACTTTTGTGACATACAATTACTCTTTCAGTAATATTCAGACTTCCAAAAAATTTATGTAACATATTGAAGAAAATAGCCGAAATTTTTCTTAAGTTACTGGTCGTTGTTTTTGGCGAATTACTATACTACAATAGAAATTTACATTTTTAGAAATCTCCACATACTACCTAGTGATGAAGAAGATATCGAGCTATTGAATCAGTCGTTAAGCAGCAGTATCTCATACCTTTAGATAGCTGAAAGACAATAGTGTCTCTTTTTTTTATTCTGTGTGTTCACAAAGTATAGTTTATATCGAACAACTGAAAATTAATATCATTTCGATTTATGAGATCATAGTTTTACATGATTTTTATTTAGAATGACATATAGTCGAATAAAAAACTGCTGCTTTTTTTTTTACATGAACATTGTTTTAAGTTATTATAATAACATTTTTTAATTCTTCTATACATACTTGTTAAAGATTTGTCTAATATGTGTGAACTCAGCACACATTGTCTCTTTTTTTTTTTTTACCAGTTGTAATATATCATTTGTTGTTTTTTTTTCTTCTGTTATCTAGTACGTGTATATCTAATGCGTATATGGATATGTCTTGTTCTGTCATATATGTTAGTGATTTTCTCTATTGTTGTCATCCTATTTTTATATATATATATCTTCTCTTCTGTAAGCTCTTGTACTCTTTTATTCTCTTCTATTATCTTTAAAAACGTTATTGTTATTAATAAAATCGAACTTACATTCACAAAACTCGCAATGCTGATTTTAAGTCAATTAAATTATTTATGAATATGAAAAACAATAAATCTTCTTCGCACTTTAACTTTAATTATTTCTAACTTAATCATTTACTTCTAGTTTAAATGTAATTGTATTTGAATAAAACTAAAATTGTAAGTATTATCCGAAGACAATCTAATCAAAAACAAAAATGGAATTTCAATTACGTCTGCATGACACATTAAATCTCAATTTTTAGCGACATCTTTCGCTATATAAATGTCATCATTGTATATTCTCTACTGCCGACAAATCGTTCTTCATCTTATTTTTTTTCATCATCTTTACATTTCTCGCATTTTCTTCTCGTTCCGTAACCAGAAAAAAATAGTTCGATAAATATATTTCATTATTATCTTACGAATTGAATTACATTGTTTTATTTTTATAGCAAAATTTATTCTTGTCAATTTCAGATTATTCTTCTATTTTTAATAATGGATTATTCGCCAGCATTTAGTGATGTTCATTCACATCAAGTTTGTTATTAATTTTTTCTTTTAATTTCTAAAATTTTGTTTTTATTTAGAACGATCTACATCCTTCACCAATGTCATTACCACCATCAGCAACACCAAGAAGTGTTGCACCAAAAGAAGAAGCATATACAGTTAATATGGATACAGTAACAACAGCATACCATTATCCGCCAATTAGTTCAAAAATAACAACAAATATGGGTCCACCACCATCCGTTTTATCCTATCATCCAAATTCTGTTGCACCATCAACACCATTTTCAACAGCTGCAACACCATTTACACCACGACCAGCTGATGTTTCACATTTACAACCAAGTTTACAGTAAATAAAAATAAAATTAAAATTATTTGTCTTGAAAAATTCTATTATTGAGAATATTCTAGAAATATTGTATCAACAGTTAATCTTGGTTGTCAATTAGATTTAAAACGTATTGCATTACAAGCACGTAATGCTGAATATAATCCAAAACGTTTTGCTGCTGTTATTATGCGAATTCGTAATCCACGTACAACAGCATTAATATTTGGTTCAGGTAAAATGGTATGTACAGGTGCTAAAAGTGAAGAAGATTCATTACAAGCTGCACGACGTTATGCAAGAGTTATACAAAAACTTGGTTTTCCTGTATGATATTTATTTTCAAAAATTTCATAATTTTTATTAAATATAAATATAATAATAATTTTTTTAGGCAAAATTTCGAGATTTTAAAATTCAAAATATGGTTGGCAGTGTTGATGTTAAATTTCCTATTCGATTAGAAGCACTTGTATTAAAACATTATCAATTTTGCAGGTATGAATATATATAGTGACGCCAAAAAAAAAAAAAAAACTTAATCATATAGATTTAATTTCGATTTTCTTTTACGTATATGACAATTCGTATAAAAAAATCGAAATAGTAGTTTGAATAGAGAAAAAGAATTTCTTTTTTTTAACAAGAATTTAAAAGAAAATACGACTTTCACCGCACAGAATCTGAAAAAATAAAAGCTTCTTTTGAATACAACGGCGAGATAGAACAAAGAATTCTCTAAAAAATGACACATCTTAGTTCTTCATGACATTCTTTTTTTTGACGGAACAAAATTAATATTAAGCGGCCATTCTCTTGTGGAACTAGCATGTAGTAAACAACACTTACAACTACAACTTAGTATAGTTCGGCTTTAAAATTTTTCTTTATCAATTTATGTTGTCAGTACTTTTCGAAAGAACTAAGTCAAAAGAAAAACAAATCTAGCTGTGTTTAATAAAACGGTAGAGAAAATACATATTAGATGTCGGTATTCATGCCAACATTACCAGCTGCCTAAATATATAAAATATGAGAAGAAAAAACGAGTGATTATAAATGTTAAAGAACAAAGCCAAAGAAAGAAAAGAGAATTCATACTGATATCCGTAGGGCGTCTCTTTAGACAAAACACTGTCAAAATAATTATATGATTAAATGAATACTGATAGAAAAAGAAAAATTCAAGGCACAAATCTACTTGTTCGAAAATTTGCAGTACTTGCTATTTCATACATTTCTGTTAGATTCTCCACTATGGGAAATCATAGAAAGAGTTCAAATGATTTTTCCATCATTTCCCAAGGGAAAATACTAGACAATAAGGACTTTTGAGCTTCCCTTAGAACTTATATAATTTCAAAAGAAGCTTGTTTTTTTTTTATCGAGCTCGAAAAAATTAAATTTTGACTTTTGCACATACTGTGAAGATTTTA